TTCACCAAGCCAGGATCTACTCATGTGGTAAACAGGATGCACTTTGATTACATTCTTGATGGTTCAATTGCTGTATCATTTCATTTCTTTCTTTGGGTGGAGGGATGTTCCATTCTCTAGTGTGGGTAGAAATTTGACCTGCAGAAGTGTAGCATGAGTGGCCCTGGTGCTCTCCGTTGTGGGAAACTCCTGTGGTCCTTCCTAGCCCTCTTTGGTACTGCATCTTTGGGACATTCCTCCATGGTTTCTTGCTGTCCTGTAGGAAATGCAATGGTGGCCTCTGCTTCCTTAATCCAATGGGCAGAGGTCAGGCTGTCACTCTGTCCCTGGGGGTTTTCCTGAGCTGGCCCTGTCACGTGGAGACAAGCCCATGCCTTTAGCTGGACTCTGGGAGTAGGTGGGGTCAGAGCTGTCACACAGGGGTCTCCAGGGGATATTCATGATACTATAGTGTTCAGTCCTGGCATGCTGCAGAAATGTATGGAATTTCCCCTGGGCTCTGGGCGGAGGTGGGGGGGCTAGGAATGGTAGCTGATGGTTTGGTCCTGAGGTGCCATCCCAGACAGCCCTGGCCTATACTTGAGGACTCCAAAGGTATTGTGCCTCCAGTCTGTGCCCAGGGCACTGTGAAGAAGGTCAGGTACACCTGGGTACTGAGAGCCCAGGGGCTTCTGCTTTAGCACAAGAAGGCTCCTGCTAGACAGAGCCACGATCCAGGGAAAAGCATCACAGAGACTGAACATGAGCCATAAAACAGATTTTCTTGTTCCTAAAAGCTGTTCAACAAGCAGGCATGGTAATGCATGTCTGAAATCCCAGTACTTGGGAGGCTGAGGCAGGAGGATTGCTGTGAAGTTGAGGTCAGCCTGGGTTATACAGTGAGTTCAAGGCAGCTTGAACAATATAAGAAGATCCTTTCCTGAAAAAATTTAAAAAAAAAAAGCAGTTCAAGCTGTTTTACACAGGACACAGGCAAGGAACCCTAAGGCTTGACCTTAAATGACCTCAACTGCCTGGTAACATTAAACAGCAGAAACAGAAACCAGAGCAAGATAGACCTAGATGAGAAGTAAAGGATACAAGCCAGGTGTAGTGGCTCACACCTGTAATCCCAGCACTCATGAGGCTGAGGCAGGAGGATCGCTGTAAATTTGAGGCCAGCCTGCACTACAAAGCAAGATGCTGTTTCTGTTGTTGTTGTTTGTACTGGGGATTGAACTCATAACCTCACACTCTCCAGGACTGCTTTAAAAATCAATCAATCAATCAATTAAACAAACAAACAAGAAAAATAAGGGAAGGGTACAGTCACAACAGTTGCAGGATGGGCTAGGATTATCCATAAATTCCACCTGGACCTGCACAGGAAGACTGGCAGTTACACCAGTCAGCCCTCTATTCTCCTTTACTCTGGGCTGCTTTAATTAAACTCCATCAGCACTGGCTGATGAAGGAGAGTGGTTTTACTGCTCTTCCTGACTCCTGACTCTTTTTGGGAACCCAAGTGCCATGGTACTGGCGTCTCTACACAGTGGGCATCAAGCGCTTTCTTGCTGTTTCAAGTCCTGATTAGGCCCTCAAATCACAACCATGTATACCCACGCTCACACTTGCATCTGGTGACTCTGTCTTAAGAATACCAACACCTGAGGAGTTGGCAGGACCCTGTGTGCTGCTTAGGGGCTTGAACACAAACCAGTGTCCTCAAATAAATAAGTAGGTCAGGAAGTAAGTAAATAGACATAGAAAGAATCGGCTTCTTTTGCAGGAAAAGCCCTAATGCAAGGGCGCCCTCTAGTGGTCTTCCAGCCTACTGTTTCTCAGGAGACCTGCCTGCTTCCGGGGAGAACGGATGTAATGCTCATCATTTCATCACATTTTAGTCATTTGTAGAGAAGTGAAAAATATGTCTAGTTTTAGTAATGAAATTTGTTTGAAAGAAAGAGTTGTGGAACTTGGATCTTCACAGAGAAGTCGATTCGATTTAAAGTTATATTTTCCTGGAAATGTGTAAAATGTAATGCAAAAGACAGACTGCTATGTAGCTATTTTATTCAGAGATCTGATATTTTTAATAAATAGTCTCACTAGGTAGCTCAGGCTGGCCTGGAGCGCAAATGGCTCCTCCCACCTCAGCCTGGTGGCCCTGAATTATAGGTGTATGCCGCCACACCCAGCTATTTAGGGATTCCTCAAGGGCTTGGTGTCCTTGGCCACTTCAGGAGCAGGAAACGAGGCTCAGGTGTTCTATTGAAGCTGGAGACAAGGCTGGGAGCAGTGGTGGGTTTCTGTAGCCCCAGCCACTCAGGAAGTGGAGACAGGAAAGTCACTTGGCCCCAGACATTCAAGAGCGGCCAGGGCAACACAGCAAGACTCTGCCTCTGAAAAATGAAAACAAACAACCACCACCAACCAAAGCTCACCAAAATACAAAGGAGCTCTAGCAGGCTGAAGCAGGATTGAAAGCTGTCATCTTGGAATCCGAAAGTTGGTCTGTGACAGAGAACAATCCTCCGAGCGCTGGTAATGCACAGTAAGAAAAGGACAATAGATGCCAGGGTTTGGGGACATCCTCAAAGTTCATGGGTTAGAAGCCTAATGCTCCAAGCAGCCAAGCCAAGAGGTAGGGCCTTTAACAGCTGGTCTGCAGGTCTGCAGGTTCCAACCTTGGTGGATTGAGGTTGCTGTGGTGGTGACTCCTCATTGAGAAGGCAGGTTTATTCTAAAGCTGTGTCCTGCACCTTCTCGTGTGTATTTTGATATATGACATTTGCAGTGTTAAGACACAGCAAGAAGGCCTTCCCCAGAGGTGCCTAGGCCTTGAAGCCAGAAGTGGAGGAAACATGCCCTGCTCCTTGAGAAAGACCGGGCCAGGGCTGTGCTAGGAGGGTGCTCAGTGGATGAGCTGCAGAAGTGAAGCTGTGGAGGAAGCCGAGCAGCTCCCTGGCCTTGACCTTCTTGTATGCTCGTCTGTGGTCCTCCAGTCCTAGCCACTACGGTAAACATAGGAGAGTCGCCTCGTTTTGGTTCCAAATCTCATTTTTAGTTCATTCTGTTGGGGGCAGGAAGGCATCCTTGGTGCCTGTGGGATTAGGCACAGGAAGAGGGGCTGTGAGGGTGCCAGGCGCTGCTGGTTCCCAGCACCACATAGGCTGCCCGCTGGACGTGCTTCCAAGCAGTCCCTACTGCGGGACTTACTGTGGAGGGACCAGCAGTGCCCGTGATGGAAATGTCCTCTACCTGCTCTACTTGATACGACAGCCGCTGGCCCAGGTGGCTAAGAAGTATTGAAACTGCAGCTAGGAACTTAATTTTTAATTTACAATTATAAATATAAATAACCATATTTAATTACTGGCTACTACTATAGGTAGGACGCTAGAACCTGTTACTTTCTTTGGTGTGTGGTCCTAGTGCTTGAGTATGCTAGGTAAGCATTTTGACACTGACCTATATTTCTAGTCCTTTCTTTATATTTTTATTTTGAGGAGGGCTTCACTAAGTAGCCCAGGTTGGCCTTGAACCTGTGATCCTCCTATCTCGGCCTCCTGAGTAGCTGCGCTTACAGGTGTGTATCACTATACTCCATCACCATATTCCTTTTCAGAGTTCCTCCTTCATCATGCCAAGACCAAACAAACAAACAAAAAAACCTAATTTATTTAGATTCCCCTTCTTCATAATTTTTGCTAAAAGATAATTTCCACATAAGATAAGCCACAGTTATTACCACAATTCCTATTTTTCCTTGTGTTGAATACCTACAAAATACTATGCTCTTATTTTTATTTTAGTAAAATGCAGATTCTCCATTCAAAAATTGTATATTTAAAATATACAATTTAGTGGCATTTAGTATATTTGCAGTTTGTACAGCCATTATTATCATAATGCTCCAGAATTGTTTCATCATCCCTTGAAAGAAATTCTGTACACAGAAGCCTTGCACATGCTAGGCAAGTTCCTCCATAAATTGAATCTGGTGATTCAATTGCCTTCCATGCATGGCTACTTTTCCTTAGCATACTGGAAGTTTCTTCTGGATTGAAGCACATATCTGTTGTAACCTATATTAAAAAAAACCCTTATAAGTCTCCCCGGAGGCAAGAGAAAGATCAAAGGTAACTCTAAGAGCAGAATAGGATGTTTGCCTAATCTAAACTTGCTTGTTAGCCCACCTGAACCTTGTTCTTCCCAAGAAATGTAACCGTGGTGTTCCTGTTCTGTAGTGCGCTGCAAACTCCACCCCTCTGCATTGTGAGACCAGCAGCTGTTTGGTTTTTTTTTTATTTATTTAAAGAGAGAAAAACAAAACAAAACAAAGCAGTAAAAGGGTACAAGTAATATAGAATTTCAAGAAAAAAATATACAGTAAGAAATCACTAGTTAATAGATTACATATTGTCATCTTAGAAACAGTTGTCCAAATTACAAAATTAAAGCATACAAAATGGACATTCATACAGTGAGATTGCAGACAGTTCTGTTCAATGATCCAACAAAAACTCAGTAATATGGTTTTCTATCCTACACACTTAAATACACATGTAGTTATATCCTTTAGATCACTTTCTTTTCCTCTCTTAGCTGTTTTCAGTTTTACAGGATAAAAACCCTGCCCTTTAGCTGTTAGGTGCGCAGTCTTCCATATTGGCTACTGGAGGCTGCGTCATGAGGCCTGTGCTTTAATAAATAATTTTTCCTTTCCAAATTATTTTCTCTGGATCCTTCATATCTCAGGAAGCAGGGGACCACCACAGTATCAGAATTTGTATTTTTGATTGCTGAATAATAATCAGTGGAGATATACCACACTCATTTATCCACACATCAAGCAATGGACACCTGGATGGTTTATGTCTCTGTTTCTCTGTGAATGTCTGTGTATAGTCAAACTGTTTATGACAGAAGCTGTACCCTTTTATATTTCCATCCAGTATGTACAAGGGTTCTAATCTCTCCTTATCTTTACCAATAGTTGTTGTATCTTTTTATTTTATTAAAATATGGAACACCTCACAAATCTGTGTGTCATCCTTGAGCAGGGGCCATGCTAATCACAGTATCATCCCAATTTTTAGTATATGTGCTATAAAGCAAGCACTCTTTATTTTATAAAAAATTTCCATCATAATGGGTATGATGTGGTACCTCATTTTTCTTGTAACAGAGGATGTTAAATATCTTTCTGTGTGGCTACTGACTATCTGTACAGCTTCTTTGGGAAAATGGCTAAGTCTTTTCTTTCTTTCCCTCCTCCCTTCCTGCCCTCCTCCCTCCCTCTCTTTCTTTTTGCCTTCTTTTATTTATTTTTTTCATGGTACTAAGAGTTGAATCCAGGGCCTCACACATGCTAGGCAAGTGTGTCTACCACTAAGCTAGACCCTTGTTTTTCTTTCTTATTTTGAGGCAGGGTCCCACTAAGTTGCTCAGATTGGTCTTGAACTTGCAGTATTTCTGCCTCAGCTTCCTGGGTAGCTGAAATTATGCACACATGCCACCAGGCCTAACTAGTCCTTGACTCATTTTTAACTGAATTTTCTGCACCTTTGTTGTTGCATTGTAAGAATTCTTTATATATTTCAGACATTGTAAGAGTTCTTCATATATTTTGGGTTCTAAGAAGACAGGTCATTTGAAAATGCTTTGCCCTATTCTGTGGCTTTACTGTTTTTGATATGTTTTGTTACATAAGTTAATTTTGATGAAGTTCTGTTTTTTTCTGATTGGTTGTGTTTTACACCTGAAATTTCCCTAATTTGAGGTCAGGCATATTGCCATCTATGTTTTCCTCTAAGGGTTTTATAGTTTTAGCACTTACATTTAGGTTTTGATGAACTTGCTTTTTTTTTCAATGCAAGGAATTGAATTCAGGGCCTTACCCATGTTGGCAAGCACTCTACCAACAGACTTTTTACTTTTTGAGACAGGATTGCACTGCTGCTCTGACTGACTTCAAACTTGTGATCTCTGCCTTAACCTCTTAGTAGCTGGGATTACACATAGGCACCCCTAGAGCTGGCAGGATTTCCTATGTATGAAGTCATGTCACCTGCAAATATAGACAGTTCCACTTCTTCTGGTTTAGGTGCTGTTCCTTTTTCTTGACTGCTTACTCTGGGTAGAACTTTCAGTAGAAAGTTGAATATAGTAGAAGTGGCAAAATGGGCTTTCTTGTGATCTTGGGGGAAAAAGCTTTCAATTTGCTCTTGAGCATGAAGTCAGCTGTGGGCTTCACATAAATGTCCTCTGCCATGTTAAAGAAGACCTCTTTTATTCCAAGTTGGTTTAGTACTTTTTATCTTGGGCTTTCATTTTTCCTACTTCAAAATGAACGTATTTTATCCTCTTTATTCTATTAAAGTACATGACTGCTTTTCACATGCTGAACCATGGATTTCTAGAATTAAATCCCACTTGGTCCAGGTATATAATCCCTTTTTTGTTTTATTTTTGAAGACAGGGTCTTGCTATGTAGTTTAGGCTGGCCTCGAACTCAGTGATCTTCCTGACTCAGCCTCCTGAGTGCTAGGATTACAGATGTGTGCCACCATACCAGCTATAATCCTTTTAATATGCAGCTAGACTTTTGTTAAATAGGCTATGAATTGGCTAGCCATAGAGGCCAGAGGTTCACATTTCTCTATCATCTTTTTTTCTCCACTTTTAATTTAGTGCTTCGGGGAGTGTCTTTCTGTGCTAACCCAATGTTAGTGGGGTGCATTGTGGCACAGGGCATGCACTGTTGTTATTTTGATGGTGCCGGTTACTGAACCCCAGGCCTCACAAATGCTGGACAAGTGGTCTACTACTAGCTCTATTGTGGCCTGAGGGGCACACACTATCTTCCGGCTAAATCTCAGTGTTACAGTGGGCCTGTGTCCAGGCAATGGCACCTACTTGAGCAGGACAGCAACTTCTGTCTTTTGCTGTAAACTGCAGTGTTTCCAACCTAGTTCCTTGAGGCCCTAACCCCTGTAGACTATGCTTTCTCTCCCTTGGGTGAGACAGGGAGGTTAGGATGAGAGTGGGAGGAATGTTTTCTCTCCAGCTAGCATGACTCTTGCAAATTTTTCTCCCTTAGAGTTTTGGATTTTCACAGCAGTGACTCTTCTACTGCCACCATGGTAGTTCTCAGATCATCGCCCTGGGAATCTATCTCGATTCCTGGAACCAGCTGAAATTGTGTCAGCAATGGAGGTTTGGAGGAATCCGCTAAAGCTGTTCTCATACTTGCACTCTTGTTAACTGTCAACCCCTAGCAATTCACAGTGATAGACACTTAAGTTTTCCTACTAGGCTCTGGTAGCTTCTGCTCCAGGTAAGCAGCTCTCAGTTGTCTTTCTAGACATACCTGTCTCACTAGATTTCAGCGCTGGGACCTCATTTCTCAGAAGGATAAGGATTTGAGAATGACTTAACAAGCTGTACACAAGTCACAGCTGAAAGTTCTGAAAGGTTTGTTTTTGTGGTACTGCTGATTGAACCCAGGGCCCTGTGTCTGTTAGGTGAGCATTCTACCACTGAGCTACACCCTAGCCCTTTTAACTTTTTATTTTGGGACAGGGTCCTGCTGAATTGCCCAACCTGCCTTTGAGCTTGTGATCCTCCTCTTGCAGCCTCCTACCTGGCCCCCAACAAATTTTTGAATGCTAGAGAGTGCTAACAAAATCACAAAGATCCTTTAGCTGCTCAGTTTGTTTAAATACTGAAGGAAACGATTTCAAGATGATTACTTCAGTGTTAGTAGAAAGGATATCAGGTGTCTCTGTAGCATCATGCAGAAATACAGAACATGGGGAGGCCAGCCAGTACTTGATCTGAATAAAAACTATTTGTATTTTTATGTCTCTACTTAAATTTGTATTGTTTCCACCAAAGCAGTATAATTTTCACTAACACAACCCAAGTGAGCTTTTGAAACATTTTTATCTTGTTTATGAGTTCTCATATGGAAGGGCTGAAATAACCTCTTAAGCAATATTTTTCAAGAGAAAAACAACACATAAGTAAAAGGAAATTCCTTCCTCATTCTAATTATTTGTATCTGGCCCTGTGTGGTAAAAAGGAGAAATTTTACCTCTAATAATTTCTGTAATAGTAAAAGGAGTCACTAAATTTTTATTATTTTAAGGTTCTATTTGGTGTGTGAAGATTTGTTAGCAGTTTTAGAATCAGCAAATACTTTTGGAATATTGAACTGAGTCATCTGAGCTGAAAAGGCTGACAATGATGACAAGCAGTTTGGCAGGTCATTACAACTCTTACCCTATTATTTCACTTTCACCTGGGAACATTTTAACCAGGAAATTTGTTACTTTTAACCAGGAAAGTTGTTACTTTATCCTTTTAATATGTTACAAGATGAGGAAATCATGTATCTCTTAGGCTCAGATATTAGTATACTCTGGTCTATATTTGACTTTGTTGTTTTTGATATTGAATGAACAACTGAATACTGAGGAAAGGGCTTCAAATGGACTTTTCCTTCATTTAACAGATATCCAATGTTTTATAGGTTAACCATGAAATTTACTCATATTGATATTCAAATGCATACAGATAGTATAGTTCTTAAGTATTCTTACAAAATGCAAAATAAAATTGATTATAGTAGTTACCATAAGAACTAGAAATACTGAATCTGATAATCTCACTTGGGAGGCTGAAATATAAATATCAGAAAGTTAGGGCAGAATTGCTGAAATGGCTACAGACTTTTAAGTTAACATGATGAAGATATGTGTCTGTAAGGAAGAGCTGCATTTGCAAAAGCAGCCTCCCTGAAGGAAGCCAGAGCTGACCATACCAGGCTTTAGAAGGTATGGTGTCTGGGATTCACAGTTTTCATTAGGAGAGGTGTTGACAGATTGGCAAACTTTCAGCTGTTAGCATGGTCACTGTTAGCATGGCTGAGACTGACCGTGTCTCAGAAAGCCTGTCACTAGATGGAAGTACTTGCTGGCTGCTTCTAGAAGTATAATACTCTCCTTAACTGGTGGTCTTTCACAAGGTGGAGGCAGTTGTTAGCTTGCTGATTTTCAGAAGCATGGCCACTGGAGCAAGGTTATCTCTGATTTTCAGAGCATGTGTACTGACCTGAAGCTCTATTTATCAGTGATTGTTTGTGAGTTGAGACTTTGGCCAAAACAGTGTTTTTTCTCTCCATTCCCCTTCATTTCCCTTAGCCCAACACCTAAAGGATTGCTTAGATCTGTTTGCAAAGGTATGGTTTTCAGCCTGTGTTACTACTTGTATGATTTAAATGCTAATTAGTGAAGCTGAAAAACAGCACCCATGGACTTTTCATTCATGATGAAAAACTCTGGATACGTTTAGGGTATCCCACAAAGTTAGTGCAGAACAAAGATGAAATCACTGCAAAGAGGACGTGTCTGTCTGCAGCCTCCTATGCAGATCAGCTTAGCTGCTCACCACCTTCATCTACTTGTCTTGAGATAAATATGAAAACCTCCCCATCTTTATTCTAATGAATGACTTCTGTTCTTCACCCATGCTGTCCTGCTTGAGCTTGAACTCTCCTTCACTCATCACTGAATTAAAATAGCCCAAAATTTTAGGCACCTGTCTACCTAGCTTTCTTCAACACTTTAAAATTATCCTCTACACATTGATGCCAAGATAAATTCCCTTTCTTCACATCAACTTGGGGCTAAAACCCCAGGCTCCCACCATGGTAAATGAGGCCTTTTTTTTTTTTTTTAATCTTTGTCTTCTTCTTAAGCTTTAACATGTCATTCTTTGGTCACCATTTTGCATTTTGAGTTTCTCACATATGCCATATCCTGTATCTGTACCAGTGCATGCATAGTCTGTTGTACTTGTGAAGATGATCTTCCCTTTAGAAGAGTTCCTATGAATCTTGCAAACTGACTCCAGCATCACTGTCTCTGGTAAGCTTTCTTTGATGATTCCAGCCACTGCTTCTTTAGGTCTCTTTATTTATCTTGTACAAAACTTTACAAGATTCTTGTACCAACACATAATTCCACAACTCTATTATCTGCTAAAACAACCACTCTTACATACTGTGACATAATGCATTGCTTACTCATTTCTGCTCCCTCCCTCCCAATCCACCGTTCTTCTGTTTGTTCATTGAAACCAGGGCTTTCATACTAAGTTAAATATCACCCCTTTTTATTTTTTGACACAGGGTCTACAGTGCTAAATTGCCTCGGTTGGGCTTGAATTTGCAAACTTCTTGGCTCAGCCATCTAGGGTGCTGGTTTTTGCCATGATACCAGCTGGATTCATAGGTTTTTGGATGAAGACTTGTGCTTTTCTTTTTAAAACCCATGGTGTGCAGTGTAGTACCAGTCCCAAACCAGGGATCAAAGAGAAAGTTTACTAGGCTGAGACTGTAGCTCAATGGTAGAAAACTCGCCCACTGTAAGAAAAAAATTTATGAAATAACAGATGTCTTAGTCCACTTGATCTGCTGTAACAATATGCAAGGCTCAGTAACTTAGGAATGATAGAAAATTATTTCTCAGAGTTCTGGAGGCTGGGAAGTCCAAGAATAAGGTGCATCTCCTCCCTGTCCTTATGATGGAAGGCAGAGCAAGTTACCTTGGATCTCTTTTATACAGCACCACTTTTACTTGTGAGGGCTTTGTTCTTATGAATTAACCACCTTTTCCTCAAAGTCTCATTTCTTAATAACTTATAAGTCTTTAATACCTTAATTGTCTTGGAGATTAAGATCCCTTTCTTGCTGGGTTTTGAATCATGGAGCTATGTCTCCAGTTTTTTCTACACTGAGATAGACAAGTCTTACTACCTTGCTCATGTTAACCTTGAGCTTGCAATCCTGCTTCAGTCTTCTGAGATTACAGGTGTGTGCTACTGTGTCTGACTGGAGGTTTGGATCATAATGTGAACTTTCAAATAACTTCAAAAAAAAAAAAAAAAGAACACATTCAGACTACAGCAATGTCCTCATCACGATTCTGTCACAGGTGTTAGACTGCTAATGGTTGATAGGTCCTTTGTTATAAAATTTTAAAAAACTATGTTTGGTAACTTTAATTGCTGAAGTGAAATAACTGCCTATTTTTTTGTTTAATATATCTAGATAGCAGCTCATAGGATAACAGTAGGTACGCTTTTATAAGTAACTTCAAAGCAATGAAAAAATTCTAAGGACAGAAATTGGATAGATAATTCCCAATTCACAGTTACTAACAGTAAAACAAAGAAATAGACCGCATTTAAATTTTCTTTCATTTTAGTGAAATCCATGCACAGTGTTCTGACATTAGGTCAGAAAAAAGAATAAACAAAAGACAATAAGAGGTAGTTTACAGTTTCTTTTTATATTTTATTTTGGTCCTTTTCTCTAAAAATGTGTAATTTATTGGATCCATCCTTTCTGTTATTAAAACACTATAAAAAATATTTCCAGTGTAGTTCAGTGAGAAATTTAGAGCACCACTCCCTACCCAGTCAGGTATTTTTGATGATCACATATGTCTAGTGTATACTCCTATAGAAGAAAAACCAATATATTTTACAAATGCCTAAAGTCAACATCTCCAGTTATGAATTTATTTCAGACTTTGAAAAGTGTCTGATATGAACAACTACCTAATACATATTTAAGATTTTATCCATGAGATTTGATATTTGATAAGAACTAAATGAGTACAGGGATTTTTTTTTTTTTGCCTATGCACGACATTATATCACTTTCAAGAGTATATATGATGGTGAGCTTTGGTTTCAGGCTTTTACACATGCAAATCTACTTTCTAGGGGTCTTCTTCCATATGAATTTTATAATGATTAGTAAGGGATGACCTGTGGTTGAAAAGTTTCCCACATGTGTTACACTCATAGGGCTTCTCTCCTGTATGGATTCTCTGATGTGCAATACGTGAGGAGCTCTGTCTAAAAGTTTTCCCACATGTATTACACTTAAAGGGTTTTTCTCCTGTATGAATCCTTCGATGTTGAATAAGAGCTGAACTTTGGCCAAATGACATCCCACATTCCTCACATCGATATGGTTTCTCTCCAGTATGAATTCTTTGATGATTACTAAGCGATGAGTTACACCTGAATGTTTTCCCACACTCATTACACTTATAGGGTCTTTCACCAGTATGCATTCTCTGATGTTGAATGAGAGCTGAACTTTGCCTGAAGGCTTTCCCACACACCTTACATTTACATGGTTTTTCTCCAGTATGAATTCTCTCATGAATGATAAGGGTTGAATGGGAACTTAAGGCTTTGCCACATTCATTACAATTATAAAACTTCTCTCCAGTATGAATTATTCGATGTCTGTTGAGTCGTGAAATAGAAGTGAAGCCTTTTCCACATTCATTACACCTGTAGGGTTTTTCTCCAGTGTGAATTCGTTCATGTTGAATGAGTGATGCACTCTGACTGAAGGCTCTCCCACATTCACTGCATTTGAAAGGCTTCTCTCCAGTGTGAATTCTCTGATGATAACGAAGGGATGAGCTAGACTTAAAGGTGTTGCCACATTCATTACATAAGTAGGACTTTTTTCTGGAGTAATTTTTTTGACCAGGAAGGGATGCACTGCAACTAGATGCCTTCCTACCTGGATTATATTTATAAGGGTTTTCTCCAGCATGGATTTTCTGATGTATAAAAAGGCCTGACCTTCGGCTGAAGGCTTTACCACATTCCTTACACCTATAGGATTTCTCTACAGTGTGGGTTCTTAAATGTTTATAAAGGGATGTGCTGAGAGTGAAGGCTTTCCCACACTCTTTACATATGTAGGGCTTCTCTCCAGTATGAATTATTTGATGCTGAATAAGAGCTGAACTTTGGCTGAAGGCTTTTGAACATTCCTTACATTTAAATAATTTTTCTCCGCTATGGTTTTTCTCGTGTTTACGAAGAGATGAAGTGTTAATGAAGGTTTTGTCACACATACTACACTGATAGCGTCTCTCTGCTGTAATTTTTGGTTGAGTAAATAAATCTGAGTTCTGTTTGAAAATGTTTCCTTGCTTTTCACATTTAGATGGTATTTTCTCTCGGGGAACAACTGGCTTTGAATAGCTTTGGCTGGATTCAGTATTTTTATGGCTTCTTTCCGGAGTCAAGGTTTTTTTGTGGGTGACTGAAACTATCTGACAACTTCCCTTTTTATCTGGCTTCTTCTCAAATTTGCCTTCATATGTACAACATTTTTCTGATTTCAAGTTCCATGGTCCATTCATTTTGAGATTTTTCATTATCAGTCTCTGAAATGAAGAGTCTTGTGTTTGAGTTGATTTTGTAGTTTTCTGACTGTTCTTCCATCCTGAAGGTGGTAGGGATTAAAGAGGTTATTGTTATATCATAGAAATTGGGTACTGAGAGTAATATGCATAGTGAATAATAATGCTATTGAAATAAGATCTTGGTATCTGGCAAAAAGTAGCAAGAGAAAAAATAGAGTTAGGCAGTACATAAAAATAACTGATGAGAACAAAAGTACTAGGAATGAAGGAAATAAAGCAAATCCATTTAAAGAGGATAAAAGCGAATACAGAGGAGCATAAGTTAGGAAATAAAGTTGAGGATCAGAATCTAAAGCCCCAATAGACTCTAAATTATCATCTTTTTTTCTTCTCTGCATAATCATTCCTAATCTGGACAGCCTTTCCTCTCTTATTTCATGCCTAAATTCCTTTGTATCCTTCAGATTTAGTTCAAAAGTTAACACTCTGCATCTCTGCTTGACCGAACTTCCATAGTCCATTGTTTTTCTATAGCACTTGCTAATGTTAAATGTTTAATAATACATGCATGTTATATAATACATACACATATAAGTATGTATATTTACATATCTTTCTATAACTATGTATATCTCACTTTCTTTTTCTACATAAAATGTTCTTTACAAGTAGATTAGTATGCCCTGCTTTCCTACTGATTCTCTAGATATCCCAATTACATGCAAAAATGAATACACTCACTATATTCACTTTATACTATATAATCAATATTTAATTATTTAATATTCTTAATTTAAAGAATATCAGTCTCAATTACTTGCATATTTATTTCACATATACTAATCTTGTATACTTGCATGCCTGTGTTTGTGCAGACACACAGACACACGTGCACACATACCCTTGCAGAAGTTGCCTTCTAGAGTAGTACATGGGTTATCAGGGAATTATGAAGGCAGTACACACAGGAAATCATTACTGACTAAACCTCAGAGGTGTCATAAGGCAGGAGAGACAATAAGAGCTGCAAGCTGGGAAGGTAGCCCATTCCTATATCAAGAAAGAGGCTGGGCAAGATGCACTGATGAATATCAACAAAGACAAGACAAGCATGAATATAAAAAGATAAAGCAGGATTAACATTACAATTAGTTAAGGGCAGAATTCAGTAAATATTTTATCAGAAGAATGTTTGTGCACAGAGATGACCCTTTTTTCTTGGGCTAGCTGTAACTATTTAACTATTTCAAGCTGTAACTATTTTTTTTTTCCTCTTGTGTTTGAGATTCCTGTCAATGACTTTCTTTCTTTCTTTTTTTGTACCGGGGATTGAACTCACGACCTTGTGCTTGCCAGGCAGGCACTTATGCTGCTGAGCTAAATCTCTGGCCCCAGACATTAACTTTCTAAACTCCGTACCTATTCCTTCTGTTTAATGATCATCATATATTCTGCTTTTCTACTATTATTCACTTCTCACTTTCCTTTTTAGATAACTCTTTCTTCTTTAAGGAACCTTATTCCTTAAGGTTTTGATTTTTTTTTCTGAGACAGGGTCTGGTTCTATATTTAGGCTGGCTATGAACTTGCAGCAATCCTCTTGCCTCAGTTTCTCAAGTGCCAGTACTACAGGTGTGTGCACCATTCCCAGTTCAGGTTTTGAAATTATTTTCACTGTAGGCAATCCCCCTTGACTAATTTCCTATGCACTCATATTTTTACTATTTATTGTAAGGGAAAGATAGTCCCCCCGCCACTTAACATTCTCCTAGTTCCTTCTTCATCTAACACACTAAATTAAATAGTCAAATTTCAATTCATTATTTGGGTGAAATGTATTGGGAGCGCTTCTCCCTGTGTATATCAGTCACTGTTTCTAGGTTTGTATATATTCTGTTGGGATAAGACCACAAGATTTTCCAATCTAGATTCTAGCTCATAAGGTAAGGTAGTGACTCCGTAGTGTAAAGGCTACAGCTCTGACAGTAACTCACCTTTATTAGAACCCTAAGCATCAGGGTCAGGCACCTAAAATAAATTCTGTTTTTAGATGTTCCTGTCTCTGTATAGTTTCGCAACTAGTATCCCTACCTTGAGTCTAATCCTCTGCCAAAGTCTCACTGTAATCAGGTAATCTTTCTAAAATTCACAACTTGTGGTATAAACTTCCTTAAGGTCCTCTGATAAATCTTCAATGAATCATAAATGAAGTCTAAAGTCCTTTCTATGGTGAACAAGGTACTGCACCATCTGACATTTTTCTTTGCCTTTGCCCATACCTCCTTCTCCTGTTTTCTTTTCAGGTATTGTGAATTACCTGCAGTTTCTTGCACATTCCATTTTTTACTGTTTCTTTACCTATACCTATGCTGGAGACATCCTTTTCCATTCATGAACATTCATTACGATGGGCCAGGTAACATTCTGGGGAATGCTGATAATGCATTTGGAAAGACAAGGTCCCAGCCTTCGGGGAGCTTATGTTTTGGTGTGTATGTATTGCTTGTGCATGAGTTGGGGATGGAGGAGGGATGAAATGACAAGTATATGCAATAAATAAAACCTGAAAGGCTGGCACAGACCTTCCTAGGCATATAAGCCATCAAACATAAAAGTGTGGCTGACTTCTGAGAACAGCAAAGAGCTTGACTTGGCTGGAGTGCAATGAACAAGAGGAAAAACAGCAGAGTAAGACAAGAGCACTAGGTGGGACAAACCACATAAGGCCTCCTAGGTCTTGCTCAGGACTCTGAAGTCTTATGCTATGAATGTGGGAATTATGGGCTCACTCAAGGCGGCTGCTGTGTAGAGAAAGGACTGCACAGGGGAATGAGTGGAAGCAGGAGAGGTGAGGTACTTTAGGGAGCGCCTGTGCTTGTTCAGGTGAGAGACAGTTAGAGGGATAAAGGACTGCATCAGGATACATGTCAAAGGAAGTGCCAAGGAGGAAAAGAGGAAGCTAGAGGTTTCAAGCCTGAAAACAATGAGTGCTGCTACCAGCCTCTGAGAAAGGGGAAAAGCAGGAAGAGTGAGTCTGAAGGGATGTTGTGTTTAGGACATGTCTGTGAGGGCTGAGATGCCTGGGCTGGCACTGAAGGAAGGCACTAAAATAGTAGTACAGACTGTTCTGCAGATCTGCAGAAAGGTCAGAGCTAAAGATATGCATGTGGGAGTCACCAGCACACAGATTTTATTTAAAGCTCAAGAGCGGAATGAAATCCCCTTGTTACTGAAACATTTGGAAGTTAAGAAGAAAATCAGGAGAGTATGAAGTTCCAGAAGCCAAAGGGAAAAGTCACTTCAGGGAGAAGTGGCAAATAACTTGAGGACTAAAAGATTAGCTCTGATTGTGGCAAGGTAGAGGTTGTCAGGCATCTACTAACAGTGCTTTTAGGGCAACAGTAAGGAAGAAAGTCCAACTGGAGCGTACAGAAAAACCAAGGAAGATGAGAAAATAGAAACTGTAAGCACATAAAAACTTTTGAAAAGTTTGTTTTAAAGAAGGAATTGAGACACAGGAGGTTTTATTTACCACTGAAGTGATTGCACCTCCAAAGTCTTCTGGTAAATCACCCCAAATGTAAAAGCATCACTATAGGCTTGGATTTTTTTTCCACTGATGAGGAAATAAGTCTTGGATTGTGGACATCCTAATTGTTCCTTATGATCTGCTCAAGATGTTTACAGGTCCACAAATACATCTCCTGAGCTGCAGTGAAACCTGCTCCAAGAATCAAGCACAGGCCTGAGCTGCCTCATGAACAAGGTTAAGACAGGTTAGAAACTCAGAGCCCAGAATGATCTTATGGAGGATCACCACCCTAACTAGTTTCTGTTACCAGGTCTACATTCTCCTCCTTGTGGGTTTGTTTGTGTTTGTTTTTGTAGCAGGGCTCAAACTCACGACCTTACACTTGCCAGGCAGGTGTTTATGCCACTGAGCTAAATCTCCAGCCCATCCTCCCTGTGCTCACAACTGTACTCTGAGATGTCTTTTCAATGTCATTATTTCCCAGAATGATTCTGTCTACTTTCACGCCCCTGATGTGAATAACTGTCTGAATTCTTTTATTTTGAGACAGAGTTCCATTTTGTAGTCCAGGCTGGTCTTGAACTCACTATGGAACACAGGCTGGTCTTGAATTCACAGTGATCCTCCTGCCTCGGCCTCCTGAGTGCTGGAATTATAGGCATGTGCCCCCACACCCAGTCCACTTTTTTTTTTTAAAGTATCTGCACAATTGTTTTCAATGGCTGGCTACAATTTCCATTTGAATATCTTTCTTTTGAAGTCAGCCTGTCCAAATCTGAAGCCAATATCTGTCTAATGCAGCTTGACATGACTACAACCATCTTGGTCATAACCACCACTGTGTCTACCAGCTACATGCATTCTAAACCCTACAGGACAGGCCAAGTCTGTAAACTGGCTAGCTGTGGGATTCCTGTCTGCCACTGATGCCTGCAATGCTTCTTAAGTAGTGACAAACATGATACAGTTTGAGGAAGCCCAGGCACAATGCAGATGACTAGAGGCTACTCTTATCTAGTCTAACATGTAAGCCCTTTCCTCCTGCTTAGAGGTGCAAGGATCATCCTCTTTTGCTACTGCCCCAGACAAACTTGTGTCCATAACTCCCTAATAAATTGTGTTTTGTGCGCTATTGGATTTGTCTGCTTTTTTTTTCTTTAGTCTTTCAGCACTTTAGCCTTTGGTAGCTAGTTTATGTAAACTGATTTTTTCCAAAACAATTTCTTTTCAAAGTGTGTATGTGTGTATTTCCCAGTTTAGAATGACATCATAACCTTTTCAGTTACTCTCCCATAAATTCTTAAGTTTCATCTTGCAGTGTTCTCTCTCCTGCGTTCCAAGTCCGGGTAGTCACTAAATTCTCTGAAGCCCCACCAGTGAAATACCTCCAACACCATTACTAGTCCATCCATGTTCAGGATCTTCTTGTTCTATATGTATATTGCTGTTGATCTTCAATTTGTTCTTCTAACCCCAGTGTCTCACCTTTCTAGCACTATTTTCCACAAGGTTTATGTCATCTAGTACACAGAACTCCTGTTACTTCAGAAAGCATTGCCTGGTTCTTATTCTACTCATTCATCAAATATAAAACATGCAGTATGCATTAGGCTTCATTTTACTGGTGATCCAAAACACACTATAGATCTGGTTCATTTCTTCAAGTTCACATTTTGGCATACAAATGAAGAAATTGGCAGGCAGTCACAATGCAATGTGATTGCTTCTACAACAAAAACAACTGGGTGGGAATGTGACATGGAACAGCTTTCCAGCTATCCTCAGCTAATGAGAGAGCAGGTAGGGAAGGCATACTGGGGCCAGTTGGGGTTTACTGATATCTATAATGGGATTTTAAAAGATTACTCACAGGCTGAAGGCAGCACCAGTTTTTTTTAAATCCAGGTCAGATTTATGTCCTATGTTTCCTTCCTCACTTTATCCTATTGGCCAGTCAGGTTCAAAGTCACTCTTATAAAAATGTCACTCAGATTTGCAGTTTTGCAAGGCTTCTGCAGTCAGGGAATGAGGAAGCTATGTGCTGGAATTATACACATCACCATGCAGCTATGTGCATTTGTAATGTATATTTCTTCTTCTTCTTCTTCTTTTTTTATTTATTTATTTATTTATTTTTTGGTACCAGGGATTGAACTTACAACTGTGAGCTTACAAGGCAGGCGTTTATGCCACTGAGCTAAATGCCCAGCCCCGCTATGCGCATTTGTAAACATCCTCTATAACGTAGAAAAGAGAAATGCTAGTCTAGAAAATTTGTTATTGGCAACCAATTTTTAAATCTTTTACTTACGGAAAACTTACAGCTTATACAAAAGTAGAGCGAATCATATGATGAACCCCCAGCCAATTTCAATAGCTACTAACAATGTTTCATCTATAACTTTATTATGGGTTGTGTTACTCTCCACACCCAAAAATGTTGAAGTCCTGATTTCTAGTACCCCAAATTGTGACCTATTTGGAAGTAGGGCTTTTGCAGATATAATTAAGATGACGTTGTTAGGAGAGAATGTAATTCAATGAGGAGTGCCCTTGGAAAATGGGGAAATATGGCTGTAGGCATGTACAGTGAGTACAATGTGGAGGGCGAGGATAAGGCATGAATGACACAGCTGCCAGCCTGGCAGCATCAAGGATTGCTGGCTGCCACCATGTGCTAGGAGAAAACAAGGATCCATTCTACCTAGCGTTGAAAGGACACTGCTGATACATTGACCTTGGAACTCCAGGGCTATGAAACAATAAATAGAAATTTACACCACTTTATTCTGTACTGACTACTGTTGTGTGGTACTGTTATGGCAAACCCAAAATCTCTTCCATCAAATTATGCTAAAGCAGATCTCAGACATCAATCACTTTAGCCAAAAATATGTTAAGGTACTTATTACTTCTACCAAAATTAACATTATTATTTATAGTTATTTTTGCCCTTAAGATTAAACTACAAATAAACTGCTGTGATATAAAGAAATTTGAACTAATTATCTATGGTGCTAAACTACCAATCTGAAACACAACCAGGATTATTTGTTTCATTAGTTTTTCAGTATTTAGGGGACATTTCCCCATTTTTGTTTAGCTTTAAATCACTTTTCATACTAGTAATACACAGATATAATATTTCAAAAAATCCTAGTACAAAGTAGACCTGATGGACTAACATCATGAACAACCACATCAAGAGCATCTCTTAGACAAAAAAAGTTATCCAGGGCCTCAGAACTACTCATTAGTATGAGGAAGCTCTCTGTGTACCAACATGGAGAGAGCTTCAAATAAAACAAGATGCAGAATATTTTATACTATATTTGAAAAAGAAACACATAAACATTTGTACACGCAGAGATAAGTGCTTCCAAATACTGCTACTGACTCGTTCACACCCAACTAAGCTTGCAGTTTTCTCCCTCTGCATTTATTTCTATGTGAGTGTTCCGTACGGACCATTCTCCCTCTCATCCCTCAGCATGTCCGCTTCAGCTTCTACTCCTACTTATCTTCTCTAAGGCACTATGACCTCCACCTGGCTAAGACAGGCCACACCTAGTGCATCGCCACACAGCACCTGCCAGTGACCCCTCACTTTCACTGAGGCACATTCTTCCAAAGTCACAGTAACTACATACTGTCCTGCCTGCTCTTCTCCTTTTCCACAAGCCTCAACTGTGCACTCATTTTCCCTGACCATGGAGTCCCTTAGGTATTCTGTTACTCTGCCTCTTGCCAGGGACCAGTATCAATCACAAATTTACACATGAGGCAACACTTCTCTGTTCTCCACTCCTGCTTGTAAAGACCATCTACTGCAAACAGCAACTTTCTGTCACCAAGGCAGCTCAAATGAGATTCGTGATTATCCCCAAAGTCCCATTTAACCTCTTTCTTCTGTCAATGACACTAGTTTTCAGTGGAAACTTTCAGAGGTGTCCTTGACACCTCCTTTTCAGCCTTGTCACTTAATCAATTACCAAGACTGCTTATTCTACCATCTTGACATGTGTCAAATCCTCCTACTTCTCTTACCTCTACTGCTCCTATCCCTTTGGGAACCTTGGCTTCTGTTATGGTTGGGATCTAAAAGTCCCCTAAAAGTCTCATGTGTTCAGATGTGGGGCTTTTGGAAGCTGACAGATCGTGTGGATGTGAATGGCCTTCCTCTCCCGCCACCCTTCCAGTTCTGTGCTCTCACAGTACTCTGTACATTTTGCTCCCTGGTCCTCAACAGAATTTGTCATGCCACACACTGTGTGTCTAGCATCTTCCTGCACTTGGTGTTGAGCTCTGTGAGGGTAGGACCTGTATGTCCTCCTGCTCTGCCAGTACCCAGCACAGAGCTCACTCAGCATGACAGGCAGTCGAGTGGTGGCAGAGGGTAGAGCTGGACCCCCAGCTCCAAAGCCCCAGGTAAACGTCCCTCAGCCCCACAGTGCCACAAAAGCTGCCTCTCCACAGTCACCTCTGTTTCTCTCTTCTGACTGTATCATCTCAGGCCAAGTCGTCTTTCTCAGTGGTCCCTGGGATTCTGTCCTCAGCTCTGTTCCCTCACCTGGTCAGCACAAGGCTGCCAATGCCACCTTCACAGGGAGGGATCCCTGACATCCTCTTGGGAGTCCCAGCCCTTCCCTTTCCTTTACATTCCTGCCCACCAGTGATCTCCACCAAGTACTTGACTCACATTTCAAACAAAAACCATTTTGCACTGAGCTCCTTCTGTACCCTTATCAAGCTGACTCTTCCTTGTCCCTAGGACTCCTATGGCAGGTGCCTCTGTCCAGGCCTTAGCAGCTTCCGGTCCACAAGACTGCAATGGCTCTGGGAGGCTTCCTGCTCCAGTTCTGCCTCACTTTAGCTTTACCTTCCACATTGCTCCATTGTTTATCCTCCACCATGCTCATTAACATCAAATCCCATAAGAGCTTCAGGAACACACCCCACCCTTGGGAACAGTAAAAGACTGCATGCAAAGAAATCCCACACGTGTTAGATTCATTCCAAAAGTAACTACTGTTAACAGCTAGGCTGTACCCCCCGCTAAGTTTACCCCGCTTACTCCTCAGCTTACTCTTTGCTCCCACATCATGTTACACTGTGTAGACACATACAACACTGCCATCAACATAAATGGTGGCATAGCTTAGCATCACTCTGCAACTTGCTTCATTCCTTAATGTCCCTTGGTGCTCTGTCCACATCAGTGTGCTTTTCATTTTAAGTGTGGTGATGGATGCCACAGAAAGGACATATCATGGTTTCATCAGCTATTTGACTGAAGGACATTTAAATTGTTTCTGATTTAGAACAATTTTTCTAAACTTTCAGGATCATGTAAAGTGCTATTTGAATTCTTGAGTTATTTCCAGTCATCCAGGAGACAGTCCCAGTCTCTCAGAACTGCACCAAAGCACTGTGGTCCTTACACAACTTCCTCCTGTCATTCCTTCCTCAGCTTCCCCTTTTCCTGCACCTACCCTGAGCTGCAGCCAGAGGAATTACTTGCAGTTCCTTAAATACACTGTTTGTTGAACCAATACATAAAAACATAGACCTTCTGGGAAACAACAGGAAAGAATAAGAAGAGAGACCCTGAGAGATTCAGGTGAGAAATGACTACGGGAGAAAAAGAGGAAGCCCATCTAGGACCCTGGGCTTTGCCTTTCTCTCTTCTTAAGGATCCAAAGCTGAAGAAGTTGCCAGGCAACACTCCCAGATTCCCCTGCTTCCTATTAACCCAGGCACCTTGGGCTCAGTCACTCACCGAGTGAGGGGCCTCCAGGGATTTCTTTTTCAACCTTCCAGGGATCTTCTCCTTGCTGCAACAGGGAAATCACCCTTGGTTTGGTAAAGGGGAATCCTGCTCATAAGACAAAAAAGAATTCATAAAATATTTGAGAAACCACAAAACCACCAGACACTAAGAAAAACAGATTACAGAGACCACTTGTGGCCACAAAGCCTGAAATATTCACCACCTGGCTCTTAAGAGAGAAATTCTGCGGACCCCAATACAAGCAAGTGCAGGTCCAGGATGGGACAAAGTCCTCTGCCACAGTGAGCAGGAGCCACAGGAGAACTGGTGTGGGGAAAGAGGACCGTGAAGAAAGCTCCCACAGGCAACCATAGAACAAAGGGATTGATTCCCAACACCATCTGCTGTTCCTGTGTACGGTCCATTCCCTGCCTGAGCAGGGAGGATGCTTTCAACATGTATTTGGAGACATCTAATTTGTACAATCCTAACGCAAAACTCAGGAGACATTTTTGATGGTCAACAGCTACTACTCAGGGTAGGAAGGAAGCACTGAGTCCTCCCTTTCCCGAGGTTGGTCTCTACGGGAATTTCCTTACCCAGGGAAGCCAGGTTCCTATAGTTCTCCAGCATCACGTCCCGGTACAAGCTTCTCTGCAGAGCATCCAGCTTCCTCCACTCATCCCGAGTAAATAGCACAGCTACATCCTCGAAGGTCACTTCCACCTGAAAGGACAAGCCACTGCAGCTCACTTAGGATGAGCTCTTGGAGGGAAGAAAGTAGCAGTGGAGAAAGAGGCTACTGGGAAACGCTGCTGATGTCACTCAAGGTTCTGAAGGTCCAGGTGGTCTGTGAGAAATGGAGCAGCCTAACAGAGGAACCTGGCTGCTACAGTTTGGATTCTGCTTGCCTCTCAAAGACCAATGTGTTGAAGTCCTGTCTGCTGGCCCAAGATGCCACTGAGAGGAGTAGAATGGTTAGGAGGTGGGTTCTAGTGGAAAGGAAGTGAAGTCACTAGGAACATGCCCTCACAGGGGACACTGGATCTCCAGCCAGTTCCTGTCCCCTTCTCTTTTCTTCCTGGTAGCCTCTTTCAGCCACCTTGATACATACTCCTGCCCCAGCCCAGGCCCAAAGCTACAATGCCAAGTGACCATGGACCAAAATGTCTGAAACCAGAGTCCAAGTAAATCTTTCTTTCTTATAAATTGATTACTCCAGGTATTTGATAACAGTAATGGAAAGCTGACCACCACACTAGCTGTGTGTCAATCACTATGAGAGATATCTGAAGGAATTAGAGGCAATCAATGAGTGTTCATGAAAATATTTCTCAAGAGATTACATGATACCTATTAAAACATTTGGAAATGTGCATACTCAACTCATTGGTTATTGTTTTTAGGTTGCATTGAGGATACATTACAGTACATGAAGTTGCATGCACAAAGATACTTATAGTACTTGTAATAGTGAAAAAATAAGAGGAAACTTAAATATTCACTGCTGAAAGCTACATCAAATAATACTAAGGCACTGTCTGTCTGCTTAGCCAAGCTTCAGGATAGTAATTACAAAAATTAAAATGACTATCAACTACCAACCACTTTCTACAGGCCAAGTACAACACTGTTCTCACTGCTTTATGTTTATCTTTAGTGCATGATACATTTAATCTCCACTGAAATCCTATGAAGAAAAAGTATCACTGTCCCTATTATGCATAAGAAAAAACAATACCACAGAATATGAAAAATCTGCCCAAATTACATACTTTCCACGAGACAATAGTAGAAGAATTCCAATCCAAATGGCTGTCTGAGGCTCCATTCTTAACTAATTTGCAAAACTGTGTTTCAGCACCTACCTTACAAGGATAACATGAGATAATCTATGTGGGGCCCAAGTTCTCTGAATAAGCCACATGTGTATTATGTTAGATCCTGCAGACTGACCTCAGCAGAGTAGATCATGGTGACTGTGGAGAGATGGAGTGCTGCAGGTCCACAGTCCAAATTATCCTCAGCTACTGCAAGGACTCCGGAAAACCAGCCATGTATTTTAACTTTTGCTATTTGACCTCACATTCTATTAGGTAAACCTCCTGCAATGTACTGCTAAGGTTAATAAAACTCTAGCCTTCACCAATCCTAAAGCTAGGAGTAGGATAACACTGGATTTCTATAGGAAAGATTTTCCGTGTTGTAAGAGGCTGCCTACCTAATGCCTAATGCCAAAATGATCTGTTAAATGTAATAATTTAAGCCTTTCTTTGTTCTTTGGCTATAAGAGTTCATGTAACCTCCTTTGTTTTAGAATATGTCATTAAGGTAATGTGAATCTGTCTTCCTAGGTCATGGTCACTCATGTTTGGCTCAGAATAAACTATTTTCTTATTTCCTTTAAGCAGAGTTCTTATTTTATGCCAACATATACAACAGAGAGACAATGATGATGGTTGCTCAAAATGTAAATGTATGTACTCAAAATACCACTGAATTACACACTCAAAAGGGGTTAAAATGGTAAATTACATTTTACCACAATAAAGTTTAAAATGGTAAAATATATACCGATGTATGCACATAAATAAATGTACACAGACAATGATTCTGAAGGCTGAACAACAAAGATCTGTCAGTAAATACCTTCAGATGTTGCAGCAATGGTGATTTTACTTTCTTTTTTATGTGTGTTGTGATATTATGAAATATATATTTTGTCTTCAGCCCAATTTCCTGGCACAGCTTCCAAAATTCTTAAAATCACCAAAGTGATAAACATCTTTCCATGTTAATGAGCTGACTCCAGGCTGGGATTCTTGGACATCAGGCGAGGGGAAGCTAGCCAATGATACATAAGCACCCATGCCTATGTAGTGAAACCTCCATAAATACCTGGACAGGACTGAGAGAGCCTGACTGCTGTATGCATTGAGGTCTCTGGAGACTGGAGCTGCCTGAAGGACAGGGAGCTCCAGGTCCCTTGTCTCATACCTCAGTCTATGTGCGTCTTCATATAAAATGTGTTCATCTTTTATGACAGGCTAGTGATAGCCAATTGCTCATAATCAGCCCAAACCTTAAGTGGTGCCTGAAGCAAGGGGTGGACTGAGCTCTCAATCTCTGGGATCTGATGCTATCTCTAAGCAGACAGTGTTAGCACTAAACTGAGTTAGAGGACAACAACTGTGGTCTGCACGTGTAGCATGGCTTGCTTAGTGGGCAAAGACAAACTCCACACGGTGGCATGAGAAGTGTTAAGAGAGTGCAGTGGGAGAAACTGAGTTCATTTTTCTACTCAGACGTATTTTTTATAATCTGTAATTTTACTTTGAGCATACAAGTACAGTAAGAGTAATGTACTGGCATATTAGGAGAATACAAGAAATGAACTTTGCCCTCAAAATATTTATAATCCAACTGACAGACAAGGAAAATGCATGAAATAATTTAAACAACTGAAGAGAGCTATGAAAGGACCTTGGCTTAACTCAGCAGTAAAATACTTGCACGGCATGCTAGAAGCCCTACTTTGATTCCCAGCACCACGGGGAAAACAGGTGGTGGAGCTGCGCAGGCAGGACAGTATGTCACCTCCTACTTTAATCTTCACTACAGAGACAAAAGAAAACTGAGATGCAGGGAGATGAGACCCCAGACCACATGCTTTACTAGGGCAGCAGCACAACCAGAACTGAAACTTTCCAGCTGTGAACTCGGCTCCCAGCCTGTTCCTTCTCTGATCTTAAATTTGCCATCCCACGTATGACACAGCACAGCATGCAGCATGGGCAGCAGGCATAGACAGAGAGATGCAATAGGGGATTCTCACACAGAGGGATGGAGAAAGTCTAGACAGGACAGCAACCTGGACCTGTTTGAATAGAGTGGGAAAACCTGAAGGAAACAGTGCTGCCCAATCAGCAAACTGCAGGTCCTGACCACAGTCCCAGATTGACTCCCACCACACTTGTGGGTCCAAAGACAGTGTCGAAATTAGGAAAGTGCCCTGCTAACATGTGACCGGGGCTGCCATGCTCTCCATGGTGATCTAGTGTGGGTCAGAGATTAATTTAAACTACTTTAACCGTAGGTTACCCAGGGACTTTGTGCTCTACTAGGACATATGATTGTTGTTCTGGAGAAAGTCTTATAAACGCATTGTTTAAGGAATTGAATGCAAAACCTTAGTCTCAGTGAAATGCTGCTGGGACAACATGAGATGCTTTGCTAAGATGGGTCCTAAAGAACAGTAAACATGAAGGCCAGGGCATAGCCAGAAATGGCCCCTGAGATAGGTAAACAATGAAGTTCTCACTTATCTGCACTTTAAACCTCTCATTTCTCACTTCTGCTTTTTGTAAAAAATGACCAGAGAAAACTATGACCAAGGCTTCAGTGCTAGATACTATGGCCCCCTGATCCCATAAATCTGTCTCTTTCATTTTCTTGTTTTTGCTTTTTTTTTGGTACCAGCAATTGAACTCACGACCTTGCACTTGCCAGGCGAGTGCTTTCACCACTGAGCTAAAGCCCCGACATCTCTCGTTTTTTTGTTTTTTTTTTTTTTTTTTTTTTTCATCCACTGCATTTCATTTTCAGGCCCTGTCTCCACATAGAAACCAACAATCTACTGGGTCACTGGAGGATTTAAGCCTGGATTGAGGGCCAGACTCACTGAGCCTGAACGTGAGTTATCTAATTTGAGCTTCAGTTTCTTCAAATGTATTTAAAATGAGGACGCTAACAGCCCTCCTATATTAAGAACTAGAAATAAATGCAAAGCCTCAACAGACTCATCAGCATGCTGGAAGGTCAAAAAAACATCAAATGTTAAATGAAAATGAGTAGAGAATGAAGGAGTATTTTCCAGTTCCTACAAACACTGGAAAGCAGTCTCTTCAACATTTGAAGTTGTTAACACAGCATTATTCAGCTGCCATAAATACCAGGCAGTAAGTATTATGATGTACCAGGTCCTCATCTAAACATTCTCTAGGCACTAACTCAAGTCATCCTCTCTCCTCCTCTAGGAGGTAGGCACGGCTGTTCTTTGTATCTCATAGGTTGGGTGGAATTATTTGCCTTCAGCCCACAAACAACAGGAGAAAGAGGTTAAAACTCATCCTCTGGCATCACAGCCCCACTTCTAAACACTGTATGCACTGCTTCTCCATCACTAATATCCCATGAAACCATCCTGTATCTTCCAACTGTGTCTCCTGAACATGGCTATCTTTTGTTCCCAATGACATCTGGCCTGGATGGCTGCCTCTCTTGTCCCCAAGCATAAAGATGAAAATGGCAGGTCAAGATCAGATTTTGCCACTGCTATAGACAAAGCCAATGATCCATACAGGTAAAAGGGAGAAAAAACCAACACTTAAGGCCATGGAAGCCAGGGGGAGGTATTGTGACAATTGTTGGAACTCAGAATCATTCTTGTCAAGGACAGGGAAGAAGACATGGATGAGTCAAAGCAGCAGGTGAGAAAGAAATTTTCCCAGGTGTGCATGTTTGTTCTGCCCCTAGCGATAGAAAGACACCTGTCTCCTGCAGTGTCAAATTTGTAATCAGATGGTGGAGTGAGATTAGTAAGCCCAGTGTGTGTATCAGGAACAGAAAGGGGACACTACATGTGGAAAGGTGTGGGCAGTGTTCTCCTCCACGGTAAAAGGATTTGTGCTCGAAATCCTGGGGAAGACTTGGGTAAGAACCAAGATGGCACTGAGCTCACCTGAGCCCTTGCTTCCTTGTGCCAATTAGCCATGTCCTCTTTTCAGCCTCTTTCCCTTGGATGGCGATGGTCTCCAAAAGGCAGATCTGAGAGAAGAAAAAGGGGTCAGGAGGAAGCCCCTTCCACTTTACTCTCAGAAGTCAGCTGCTCTGAAATCCTTCCACCACCCACAAAAGTCCAAATGTTTCCTCAGAGAGGGTCAGCAGAAGCAGGCAGTGGGCAGAGGCAGAGGGGGTTGCAGACCCTCATGCTTCTTGCCTCAGAGAATTCCCCGACACAGACCTGGAGAAGACACTTAATGCCACCAACTACAGGAACTCACTGAGCCTCACCCCGTTCCAGGCACTGATTACTGTTCAGCCCCACAGCTTTCTGGCATTGTCAGCACCCCGTTTTATAGACTGGGGAACTGAAGGCAGTGTAGGGGCACCTGGCTCTGTCCACACAGCCACGGAGGGAGGTACGGACATCCAACCCAGAAGGGAACCTGAGATCTGTCCTATTGTTAGTGGGCATCCTATGACAACTTTCCTGACCCTCAAGCTTCTTCCGCCCAATTTCTGTCTCCTGTCAAGGAATCAATTTCCAGAGTTTTAGAGAAAACTGTTTCAGAAAATGAAACCATGGGTTTTCCATTGACATAGGACAAAGACATAAAGAGGCAGAAGGGAGAAAAGGAAACCAAAAATTCACACTGTACCCTAAAAGCCAATCCCCGCTGCAGGACGCGCGCTCAAAGTTACCCAAGGCTGCAATTCCTGTCCCTTTCGAGCCCCTCCTAAACCCTGAGCTCAGCTCACTGCACAGCGGGCCGCGCCGCCCACCCGCGCCCCGTCCCGTAGTGCGGGGTCAGACCCCAGGCTCGGCCCGGGACACACAGCGGCCCGCCGCCGCACCGCGCCCCTCCGAGCCCAGGCGCCCTCTCGAGCGCGGCTCCTTGACTCCCGGGCCGCGGCCCGCGCCCTCCGGAACCCGTCGGGAGGAGCCTGGCGCGACGCGGTGAGCCCGGCCGGCTGTGGGGCGCTCGGGGCCCGTCCCGTCCGGGCCGCCAGGGGCGCAGGGACCGGCGCGGAGGTGACAGGCCGGGCCACCCGCACAGAGGCCCCGCCGCGCTCACCTCGGGCTCGGTCCGCCAACCTCGCCAGACCAAGCTCGCGGGGGAGGCGCCGGCCCCGCCCTCCCGCCTGCCCGTAGCAGGCCGGCGCGCGGACTCCGCCACCAGCTACCTCAGCCTGGGGCCGCGAGCCTGGCGGCCGAAGCTCCGCTGCCGCTGAGGGGCTGAGGGGCTGAGGTGCTGAGAGGCGGGGCGGGGCCGGGGCGGGACAGAGCGGCCGCTGGTCCCTCTGGGAAATGCAGTCTTCTTGATTCCGCGGCATTCTGGGAAATGTAGTTCTGCGCCTCGGCGATACCTAGCTAAGTTCATTGGAGTCCAGATTCCTGGGGAGGGTCGCTGGAGAGCGCAGGTGGCCTGCTTGTGCCTTCCATGAATAGAAGGGTCTTGGATGGCAGGAAGTGAACCTAGGCTAGCTGCGGGCAGTGTCTTGTAGCTTGTGTTTGCGTGTGTTATGATGTGGCTCCCAGGCCGTGTGCGGCTCAGTGCGGATTCCTTTCCGCTTCTGTTTCTCAGCAGAACAGCACTAAATACCTGCTAGTTGCTAAGCACCATTCGTCGTGAGCGGTTTGAAGTACGCCAGGAAACACAATGAACATTACTATGCTGGAGTATATGTTTTTGTAGGGAAAGGGCAGACTATAAGCCATGATAATAATTGATAGAACTACAGCGGTCAAAGTTGCTGGACTCCCATCCTGGTTTCACATCACTCAGGCTAGGAGGTGCCCTCCCAGTCCCAAATCTGATCATTCTGAGTGGTCATCTCATCTTCTGTCACCCACCCGTCTCCGTTTCACAAAGGCCTCACAGCCACAGTTAACAGGCTAAGTCATGTTTTGTTATCTGATTTGGTTCCTAATCTCTTACGCTCTATTAATGATCATTTTTGCAGCAGGACTCTTGACAGTCTTTCCTAGAGACTCCCACACCATGCGTAAGATCATCTTTATAATGTTCTATGTGATAACTGTCGTGGTTCTTTCTGTCCCTTATATTCTGTCCACGCTCCCTGCCCTTTACAGGGTGGCACTGACATCCAGAACAGATCTTCTCATTACCCACACTCAGACCTGTGCCAGACTAATCAGTGGACTGGTTTAGTGATCACACACCCTTGATCCCAGCATCACACATGCCAGCCTCAGCCACCTCTGAAAAGCTCACCTGTGACCACGAGGCCATGGGGCGATGTCTAGACACAAGCCATGAAGATGGCTATACTGTTTTTACATCTAACTGTGAGTGCTTGTGAAATTAAGTGTGAGAGAAGAAAATGTTATCTTGTTTTTATATGTAAATTTGGTTACTTGTGAAATTAAATATGTTATATTTATTAACCATTTGGTTATTTTTTATTTTAATTGTCTATGTCTATGTCTAGATATTTTGCCAATTTCCTTTTTAAATGTTGAAACATTTGATATCATTTTAAAATGCATTTTAAAGGAGGAAAATCTCTTTGTTTTCTTTTAAGAAGAAGGCATTCACTATGGAAATTTACACCATATGAGGATGAAGAAACGTGTAATAAAGAAAAGTTCAACAGAAGCGTGAATTACCTCCATTCATAAAGGTTACTATGTCTCCAAACACTAAATTTCTGTGCGTTTAAACTGGAATCACAGTTCTCATATTATTTAAAATGTAAAATATGCATCAAGCCACTTAGCACATAAAGTCCAATCTAACCTGTGCTTATATGGAGAACACATCTGTACCTCACCCAAATGGAGAAGTAACTTGTCACTAACCCTTAGTCCGCCTCCCTAGCTACAGCTGTTGTAAGCAGCAACACACACCTCTAAGGTTGTATTACATTACTGCGCCTCTGTGGTGCACCATGACTATATCCTGTGCGTGGTGGGGCACAGCTGTTCTGTGTGGTTTGTTACCTGCTATAGTTTGAGTCTGGAGTGTCTTCCAAAGGTATTCCAGGCTTGGTCCCTGGTGTGCCAGTGTTCAGAGAAACACCTCAAGACAATTTAAAACTTTTCATGAATACATGTTTGCAGGACATAATGATTGCATTTCCATCAGAACAGTCCACTATCTGTGGAAAAGCTGGCAGTTTTTTCCGATTCTAAGAATAAACATTGGGAAGGAGGAAGAACATGTTCAGATGGAAAGAGGAACAAAGGATGGGAAAGGAAGCAAGAAAACACAGGTGAAAATGAGAGTGGAAAGAAAAATGGAAATAAATCATTTGTAAGTGGGGAGGGGAAGAATGGTTGAAGAGAGGGAAAGAGAACAGTGCTCCCCTGGGAGAGAAGACACAACTGGGCTACAAGCAGCACTGAGGAGGTCTCAGTTTACAGAACAAAGTGGTGGAGAGGACCGAGCTGCCCAGACAGAGCGCCTGGGGGGTCTGGGGAGAGCCCTGCTCAGGCGCTCAGCTGAGCAGATGAAGGTGCAGCCTTGCGCTCAGGACAGACCACCTGCATGGGGAGAGGGGACTGTCTGGGGCCGACCTAGTGCCAGGACGAGGCCTGTTCTGCACTCTGATTGGAAAACAGCAAGATTCACGCAGCACTGGGTAAGGACACAGAGGCAGCTTACCTGGGAGCAGGGGGTTAGCCTTGGCCCAGCACTGCTCCGGGAACGCCCACCCCATTTAAAAACAGCCCTGGTTGAGCAAGCTGGTTCAAATCAACATCAGTGCCTCTGAGAGCCAGGATCAGGGTAGCTGTAAGAACACACAAACATCTGGCACCCCACAAGGTAAAACTCCCATCGTGTGTCATCTAATAAAAATGGCAGATAGATAACAACTTGCTACAGAGGCTCCCTGAGATAGTCAATGTAGAATTCAACATAATACAGAGCAGGGAGCCCCAAATAGAGAGATGAATTCTCTCGTCCCAAGAAGAAATTAAGGTGAGAAGAACCAACGAAACATACGGTCCCATTGCTATTATTGGAACAGCTAAAGGTTCAGTGTTCTCACTGCAGCGGGCGATTTGCTGAGTCATCCGAGGTTCTGCTGCAACTTGCCGAGCCATCCGCGGTCCTGCTGCTTTGACTCACTGGAGGCACAGTCAAACTGAGGTTGGAGGTCGGTGAGCCCAACAGAGAGCTGAATTGACAGGATGCCTACATCAACCTGTGGTGACTGATGGGAGTGGACCCATTCCACAGAAAGGGGGGCCCTGGTGGGCGACATTCTGGGACTGGGCAGGACTGGCAAGTACAAGGGGCAGTAGTGACTTCAGTCAGTTGTTCCCTTCCTGAACAGGATTGGTAGAGTGAGCTAGGTAGGTGGCTTGACTGAGACCCCATAGGTTATCTGAAATCAAGTCCCTACGGCAGTGGCACACACTAATCCAGTGAAACTTCAGAAGTTTGACTGACCCAGAAGGAAAGTGCTACAAAGTAATACAGTGCAGGCCACAGCATATTGACTGATATGGGGGGGACGGGCCAGTATAACAATGTCCCTGTCTGCAACTCACTAGCACACAGCAGTGTGAAGGGTCATCTAGCCAGCATGCTTCAGAAGAACTGTAACCAACAAAGAAGAAAACTGGGGCCTCCTGGAAGAAGCAAAAAAGATGGGAAGAGAAAGCAACAACAAAAAGTCCCCAGGCCCCAACCCTGAGAACATTGACCCAGGAAAGGTAAATACAAAGGAGAATGAGAACAGCAAACATCCACATCAGATACAGCACCAGTGGACATAAAGAGATATATTTGGGACCTCATAGATGAGTTCAAAAGTGAAATATTTAGTCAAGTAAAGCAAGACATAAGAAGGTTAATAAAAGAGTTACTAAGCACTCCTCAAGGAGACACAGACAGAAGAAGGGAGGAACTCAAACAAAGGCAAGAACCACTTGATGAAGAATATAAAAAAATATAGAATATATGAAGAAGATTCAGAGAGATTACCAGGAAATTAAAAACTCTATGGAAAGATGGCAAATCTGCTTGAAAGAAACTAAGGATAGATTATCCAAACTGGAGGACAATTTTGCAATGTGAGATTATGAAAGGAAAAACTTTCAAAAAATAACAAGGAAATAAGCAGTAACAATACAAAGGCTAGAAGATGACGGAGGATCTACAACTTGAGAATAAAGAATGTGAATGATTGTTGGAATGTCCACTCTACAAGCTTTTTTTTTTTTTAATTTTATTTAAGGAGAAAAGAAAAAAAAAGCAGAGAAAGGGTACAAGTTATACAGATTTGCAGAAAAAAAATGAACAGTAGAAAATCACTAGTTAATGGATTACACACTGTCATCTTAGAAATAATTGTTCAAGTCACAAAATTAAAGCTTGTAAAGTGGACATTCCATCAATGATACTGCAAACAGTTCTGTTCAATGATCCAATAAAACTCTGTGATATCATATTCTATCTTATACACTTAAATATACATGCAGTTATATAGTTTAGAGCACTTTCTTTTCCTCTCTTTTGTACAATGACTATTACACATTTTGGGTTTCATTGCTCTCACGGTTCTTATTACTTTTTTGGAAGAGAGTAAAACCAAATGAGAGATAACAGGACAGAATCGGTCAAGTCAAAAGGGTGGACATAATAGATAATGTGAAAACATAATACAAGGTGATCAACAATGGTTACCATAATGCCTCCCGCTATCTCTAATAGAATTGCCTATACCATTAGTTATAATACAATTGAACAAAACAGTAAAGAACAAAACCGACAAAGCCAAACCATTGGAGACATTGTAGGTCTTCAAAAGTAGATAAAAGTCAACGAGAATGGGCGTTATAATGAATCTCATTATCTTCACAGCTGATGCCTAAATTTTCGAACCTGATACTATCCAGCAAAACAGAATAGGGGAACATCAGTTAAAAACCAGATGGTGAGAGTAATACAGGGCTTTAAATCGAGGTAATGGAAAGTCAAATTGGGTTACTATAATATATCCTGCTATTTTTTTTCATTTAATTAAAAGGATAAAAATTTTTTAAAAAGTATTAAAAAAGTAAATAATGGAGTGGAGATTGAGATAAAAGAGGGCATAACAATGAAACAGCACAGATCAAAACATAACCATTTAAGCAGAATAGTGTTTCACCACCAGATAATCCTGACCTAAAAGTAGTTACCATATTGTCTCTTTCCTTGAAATCCTTGAGTACAACTTCGTATACCGTAGCATTAAGTATATCAAAACAATGTAAAACCATTTAAGAGAATGATAGCATTACAGAGTATTT